CAATACTGTACTGGCTCAGCCCGAACCAGATTCAGATGTTTTGTCTCAAAAAATTAATCTTCAGATTTCTTTGTTTACTGAATTATTGTACACTGCAAGTAGTGTCGTTAGAGCATTTGAAATCCATCTAGTTATTTAAACTATTACCACCACGCGTTACAATAAAACATTTATTACTATTAACTATTACCATCACTTGGTCATCCACAGCTTAATAAGTTGTTGCATCAAATTTAACACATTACAATTTTAATTTTATTAAGCTAAATTAATTCTTAAAAATGCATATGAACAACCAAAACGCCAACTGAATACTATTCTTTGAAAAATTTAAATAAATGTTCAAAAACATTTTCGTTTTGGCAAAGGTTGAAAATGAAGATCAGCGTAATATTATCGGAATATATTATATCTGTAACCGCAACTGCGAAAGAGCATGTCAGATGAATTTGTATGAATATCCTGAAAAAAAAATAGACCGGAATTTGTTTGAATTTTGAGTACTCGAGAAGCCTAGAAATAACTATGGACACGGGAATAAAACTCTAATAATGTTTTATTTTAATGCGTGGTGGTAGTAGTTTAAATAACTAGATGGATTTTACAGGGTCCAACGACACTTACAGTGTACGATCATTCAATAAACAAATAAATCTAAATAAAAAAATTAGATAAATTTGGAAAGAATACACTGAAGACGAATTTTTCGAGACAAAACGTCTGAATCTGGTTCGGGCTAAGGCAGTACAGTACTGGGGGTAATGAATGCTTGCAAAAAATATAATAAAATTTTCAGGGTCGTGCAATATTTAAACCGCCATGCCCATGGTTCAATAAACTTTTAGGTGGAAAATAATTGTTGTAATTACGTTAATGTGGCTATATGAGTGTTGTAAATTGAAATTCATTTAAAAATATTTCTTTTCATTAAATGAAGTTATATTTCGTACCTATAGATTCTTGATATCAAATAGTACCTCATTTGATGAGAATTTATGAAAATTATCCGAATTAAATTGAATTAGCTTAATAGTTTTAAAATAACTTAAAAGTACAAGTCTATAATAAAAAAAATAATATTTTTGAAAATATATTTTTAACACCTATATTTGCCTGTTGGTGCTGATTAAAAGCTTCTTAAACTGACACTGTAGTTTTGGTAATAGCCTAAATAAATATTAAACATTCATTACTTAATTATTAGAGTAAATCTATTGAAAAGAAGAAAGGGGAATAAGTCAAAGCAAAACGGAATTTAATAGAAATTTAATTTTTAAAGTATTATTTTATGTCTAACGGAGCACACATTTAGTAGAACTTATTCAGTTTCTACTATGTTTGCTGTATTTCAGTTATTTATCTGTAGGAAACCGCAGGAAAAAAACACCTATTTTATCTGCATATTACCACAAATCTAAATAAAACTAATGTAGACATATAGAAGATTGTATGACACAGTTCAGTAGATTCGTATTCATAAAAGTTCTTGTTTCTATTACAAATTTATAATTTTAACAAAAACATCATGATGAAACGCAGACAAAAATAAATATATATATATATATGCAAATTTTTTAAATTTTAAATTTATTTATTATTTTTAAAACTAAAATTATGTTAAATTAGTACTTTTAATATGTCTATAAAAATATTTCAATTTAAAACATTTTTAAGTACAGTTTTAAAAAGTTTGTAATACAAGGATAAAAATTATGTAGATATACCTTTTTTGTACTTCAATTCAATTCATTCAATTCAACTTCAATTCATAATTCGTTAATTTACTACTTTTTATATTTGTCGCACTAGCTAGGGAACAAATATGGAGATATAGAAAACGAGAAATTAAGATATTTATCACTATTAAAACAATAAACAACAATTCTAAGTAGAAGTGTATAAATTTGTAACAATACAAAAATTTATAATATATATTAAGCCTATTGAATTTATGTTTCATCTGGCATCTCGAAAAAGTTGTTAATTTTTTTTTCGAGTATTTAAGAAATGTGTATTCTCTGAAGGATGTTTGTTTGTGGAGACATTTAGTTTTACAATAAAAAAAGTAGTTACTTAAACCAATTCAATTTTAAATAATTTAAAATTGTATTGATCCATCCACAACATATTTCTCTGGGTACGTTACTACTTCAGCAATATTTGAAATTTATATTTAACGTGATTTATTTGTTTTAGGGATATTTTGACAATGAACTAGGTAGGTAGGTACTTCAGTTAAATTAAACCTTAAAACGCCCCATTTTAAAAATTCTTAATTTAAAGTACCATTAACTTCATTATGAAATTGACCTTTATTTAACATATAAACACAAGTCACATTTTAACAAAACGTATTTCGCACGAACCTTGGTCCCCTCAGAAAAAATGTATTACAATAAGACTGATTAAATCCATCGATTGGCTAATACAAATTTACTTCTTTGACTGCTGCATTTGCAATTACCCTTCTGAGGGCATTGCAGTTTAGCTAATGGGGCATACCCATTTAAAAACTCATTTTCTCATAAGCTCTCACATTTTTTACTCTATTTTAATGTTAATTAATTCCATACGAGAAGGGAGATTACCCGATGAAACAATCCCGATTAAAATGTGGAATCAAAAAGATATCTGTGTAGGTGTTTTTTACGTGATTAGCCTCTGTCAAAGGATGATAACAAGACAGCAAGGATACAAGATATTTTCTTGAATAATTGAATTATTTGTTTGAATATATCAGATTCATCTTTCTATAATACCTATATAGCAAATTGCAAATTTGAAATTAAAAAAAAAATAATAGATTTCAATGTATTATTATGAAATCTATATTGAAAAAAAATCAGTGCGATTGTGGAAGATGCTCGGGATCGTCCAGAATAATAATTAGTTAATTTGTTTATAAGGCATAACTTGTAAACTATTCAACTTACCGATTCCAGATTTCGTGCGAGTTATTAGACAGTGATCAGGAATTAGAGTATGCGATGTCAAAACATTCTAGTAATAATTACGCAGTTTATAAATGTTTAATTCAAAAGTCATAAATAAACTTCTTCTGTTTATAACTTTTGATCTAATCTATTTTTTGACGCTCCAGGGCTAGTTTTGTAGGTCTTCTGAAGACGAAAAAAAGTACTTTACTGTTTTCTCGTGGAAATGAACGGAAAAAAGTTATAAGCGAAAAACGTGAATTTACGTAAAAATTATATAATTAACCACCCTGTAATCAGAGCTGGGAAAGATCCTTATAAAAAGGATCTAGATCAAAGATATTAGATCTTTTTTGAAAAGTATCTATAGATAATTTTAAAAAAGATCATTTGACATTAGAAAGATCTCAGATACAAGATACTTTTATAAAAGATCTTTTTACAAAGATCAGTATCTTAAGATCATTAAATATCTAAGATTAAAAAAGTAGGTAACTTCTCAGATCATTTAGAAAACATAAGATCTTAAGATCCAATAAATTGGGCCATTGTCAGTTATTGGAATTTATGTTAGACAAAATATTTATTTTAATAGAACACATGCTGGCAAATAAATTTTTAATGGAAGTAAGTACCTAACAAATTGTTGGAATGTCACTGCATTAGATACTGAAATGAAATTATAGTCAAATATTTAACATTTACTAGTATTCTGTTACATATACAAAATAATATTATCAACTCAACTCAAAAAATATTTTCTAACAATCAGTAAATTTACACTTTATTCTTATGAACGTAATGAATTTGCCTTAAGTAGAACTAAATTTTCAAAATTTTTATCGGAAAGTGTACTTCACCTAGGGGCATTAATAAAAGTAGCAAACGAGAACATTCTTTCAACTCAGGCTGATGATGCCAATGGAGTATTAAATTTTAAAAAAGTTGCTTAATATAGAGATATTTATCTAGCATTTGAAGAGATCTAAGATATTTTTGAGATTTAAGATCTTTTTTGGGATTTTAGATACTTTTCAGGATCTAAGATCCTTCAATTTAGATCATAAGTTCAGATATTTTTCAAAGGATTTTTTATAAATAGATCAAGATCTAGTCCTTAAAAAAGTATCTAGATACAAGATCTAAGATCAGATCTTTCATCTTAGATCATTAAAACGATCTATTTTTTTTAAGATACTCCCAGCTCTGCCTGTAATCAATCTTCCCCCCATTTTTATGACTGTGGAAACTAACATGTTATTGTACATAATATTTAGCACCTATAGTGATAAATTCAGCTTGCCGAAATAAAGTCGCGTCCAACTCTATATTTCCTGGCCTATATAATGGATTTTCGTCTAGAAAAATACAATATACTATTTTTTTGAATGATTACAATTATTAATAATTTCCGTACCTATATCAGATATGTAAAGCCTACATAGTTGTCTCCCACAATATCATCAATACTTAGAAATTTAGTCTAAGGAGAACATTTTTTTCATTTCTGGTGTCCAGGAACATTGACTTGATTTGTTAATTTTTATAAAAAAAAATTAAATTTGGGAAAAATCATTGTTTGATTTCGTTTGTTAGGATTTGACATTTAGTACCTCCAAATTGTATAATTTGTGTTGGATATAACTCTGTCCTTTATCAAATTTATATGATTAAGCTGTGCAGCTGTGATTATATTTACTTCCAAATTTAATATGACGTGACATTCTTCTTCTTCTGTCTTGCAATATCTAATATTAGATTTAGGTAACGATGGGTTGACAACACAAGCAGTTTTGTTATATAATACTTCATATGGGAATTGGGCTAGGACCGTTGCAGATCTGAAGTTCCTACAAATCCCCAAACGCTGGAAGTGCTCCAGCGGCTGTGCCCCAGACTTTCCTGCGCTCACCGGCACAGAAGTGCAATCGCCTCTTGGTGCAAAGTGGGTGGTGGGGGACGCGCGGCCCGTGGAGGCAGAACTGCGAGGAGCGAATCAACAGCGGCGACCCACCACTCCAACAGTGGGTGCTTTAGGTTTCCAAACGTCAGTCCGAACCCAACGTCCGGTGGGTGAAAACGTAAATATTTCCCTGAACGGTACGCGCCCGCTATTCGTTAACGCTCGTAGTGAAGAGATAATAGTGATGTGACACTTTTCAGTGAGACCATTTCGTATTTTTGGTTGTTTTTTAGTTGTTTATTGACATAGATTACACTAGTGCTATCGTTTCATGTACAGTCGTTGTTCAATTGTTGACAATTTTTATTTACTATTGGTTAAAGTTTCCCCAACTGTGTTCAGTTTTATTGGTGAGTACACACCACTTATTTCACACACGTTAAAATTTTAAAACAGGAAAGTGGCGACGTTAATATTAATGTGCGTTTGTAATGAACTTGGATTTTGTTGCGCAAAAATATAAAATGAAAACATTTGGGATTAAAATGATGTGAGAAAGCCTCTAATTAGTTGAGAAATTGGCGAAGTCGAAGGTGTTTAAGTGGAATAACCGGTATATTTTCCAGTGTCATCAAACTATGACTACTAACATCGTATATTCTCGGAAACATTCTAAAAATTTACACATGCGATGCACCTCAGCAAAAGAAAACGAATAATAAATCTTAATTAATTTAATATCACACTATTTGCCGTCATATTCCAAGTGACGCCATTTTATTACAGTAAATGATTGTAAAATGTTAGCACAGACATGCAAGCTTGTAGTAGATAAAAAATACTTGAAAATGTGTGGACAATCGATCTTATATCAACACCATATTTAAATAAGTTTATCTACCTACTTATTTTGCTTAAACAGTTGTCCTTTTATAATGTTCCGTAATTTACCAGAAAATATATTGTCACTTTTAAAGTAGCAAGCTAACGTGTGACCGTATTTCGGCTGACGTCAAGGGAAAAATTCTTTTGTTCCTATTATTCGACCGAAAATATTTGTTTTAATATTTTTCTTCCGACAAAAGAAGCGACGTGAGCATTTCTTAAGTTCTTGGTGAGTAAACTTCTTGATATTTTGGGGGTTTCTTTGGATAAAAATTTTATTTTTCTTTACGTGATCGATCGGTGTCAAAGTTAAGATTGTGTTTAAAAGAACATAGGTGTAGGAAAGTCTTATACAACATTCAAGGGGCTATTTATGTTAAACCGGAACGACTACCTGAAAGGAATTCCGTTGAAAGTATATCAATTGGTATAGGTACGATTTTTTGGTGTTATTGTATAAAAAAATAGAAAGGGAAAAGTTTGTGTTTGACTTTTTAATGTAGCTATGAATATTTAATGAGCTAAGCACTCGGTATTCCGTAACGCTAACCAAATTTAGTATAAGGCGCTGTTTCGTATTATATTCGGCTTTTTTCAATCCATTTGTATTGGATTTAGGTCAAAATGTTCGGTTTTTGAGAGTATATGACGTCATATAAGTACCTATACCTAAATATTTATAATAATTATGCAATAAAAGTACCTATTAGGCTTCATTCTTAATAAATAGTTCAGCGAAGTGAATGCTACCTGAAAGGAATTTAGTCTTTTCTACCGTTCAAAGTATACAAATTTTATAACAGACAAGTTTATTTAGTGTGATGGCTTAAAAAATAGAAGGGAAGGGTTATGTTTGACTTTTTAACACCAGTATGAAAATATGACAAAATAACTAAATATTCCGTAACATTTATTACATTAAGATCAGTATTTGTATTACAACCTGCATTTCGAAGGCTTTTTCAATCCGTTTGTATTGAATTTAATTACAAAATGTTTCGTTTTATTAATTTTTAAATTGATATAAACTCGGATAAGAAACTATACCTAAATATTTATAATAACAGATAATAAAAGTATTAGATTTAATTCTTAACGATGGTTAAGTGAAGCGAATGCCACTTGAAAGAAATTTAGTCTCTTCTGCCAAGTATATTGATTAGATTATTAAAAAATAGAAAGAGAAGGGTTCATTCGGTATGAAATATTTAATGACTTAAAAACTAAACCGTTACACTTATTAAAATTATCAGTATTTGTGTTAGGTATATTCTGCTTCCAAAAGCCTTTTCAATCCATTTATATTGGATTTAAGTACAATATGCTGAATTTATCAGTTTCTAAATATATATAAGCTGGGATAAATAGCCATACCTAAGTAATTATAATAATTAGGTACTAAAAGTATTAGACTTCATTATTAATGGTGGTTAAGTGTAGTGTAAATGCTTGTTCTTCAAAATGTATAGATGCAGGTAACCAAAAACTTGAATACTAAGACAACAGTTTTAGTTTTCAAATTCTTTCTTACACATACCGTTTTTGATTATATTCAGTATCACTTCAGGTTTATTCTGGATTTTGTGGTAAAACGACTTTTTAATAATATACCTACCTACTAATATATTTAATAAAGTTAGTCATCGCACTGAATATCTACAAAATATCTTTATAAATTATCGATTTTTTACATAATTACGTTCAATTCTTAACCCCTGGAAACTCTTTTCATAATAACTTTCCAGTTATTCTAAAAACTGTAACTATCAAGTTTTACTAAAAATACGTTGGCGTAACAATAACATGTTGCTGTGTGAAGTAATATGCATTGTAGGTAATAAAACTCAAGTATACGCAGGTACGTACCTGGGAATATAATCAATCATATGTGAATAAACAACAAAAAAATAACGCATACCTATGGAGCCGTAATATTATCTGTTTTGTTGAATAATTAAATTTTTAATTAGACTCTCAACTTTATTAAAAGCTGGACGTATTCATAATGCTTAAGAAACGAATAGGTCTAGTTATTTGGGACCACCTGTGTCTATGTTTCTTTAATTTTAATTACGGTACCAGCGATTTCACTAATGATAAGTACGTCATCGTTAAACAAAGAGGTTATTTGTATTTAACGAGTTCCAGATAAAGGACCGGTAGCCCGATCGTATCTCTGGTACCATTCTTAAAGATCATTGACATACCATTGGTAGCCGGGAATTCGATTTGTATGACCGACCATACCACGCAGTCAGTTTCTTTTTACTCCCACATTCAAAGAACTTGGGTACTTGTTATTAGTTTTTGTGATACGTTTAATGGAATGCCGCTTTGTTAGGCCGTTACTTAACATTCCGTAATATCAGAATCTAGTTTACTCTCTCAATCGAGATAGCTAAAATATTTTAATGTCCGAGTTTTCGTTGCAAAAAGTGCATCGTCTGTTATTCGTCATTTTATTCTCCGTAGGCGACTTTCACGAAAGTCTGAGAAATAATCATCAAATTAATAAATTGTAACAGTTTGAACCGTTTGATAAACTTTAGAAAAACTACGGATTAAACCTGTTTTATGTTTATCAATGCTTGATCAAGTTACATAAATTGTGGTACCTACATTTGAAATACTACAACTTGTTCCTATTCGTTGATCAACTTTTAACAAGTTAATATTTATTCAGCAGTTCAACCAATTATGATACATATTTAAGAACAGATTGCATTTATTGTCAATGGTTTACTGTTTTCACGAGTGATTTTTATTATAAAAGTTGACGGCTTTTAATTCAACCAATTTATTAAAAAAAACACGCAAAAGGTCCGCATAAGTGCTACTTGCTTTAAAAATTTATTATGTCAAAAGCTGTTCACGATGAATTTTCATTCTAAAAGTTGACAGCTTTTAATTCAACCAATTTATTAAAAAAAACACGCAAAAAGTCCATATAATGTGCTACTTGCTTTAAAAATTTAATATGTCAAAAGCTGTTTAATGTAATGTACCTCCATTTTCTACACTAAATATTAAATTCCATTCCATTAAATTTCATTTACTTCTGAATTTACGTACATATAAGACAAAGAGAAAATAGCATGTCCCTTGCTTTTTATAACAAAAAAATGCATGTTCATTTTTTAAATACTGTAATTTTGCCGAGTAATTATACAAAACATGTTTTTAACGTCAACTTATGCGTAGTTAAAGGCAATTATAATATAGTTGGCAAATTATTTTTCAAATAATGACGTTTCATTTAATAGGCCTTAAAATAGTTTAGTTTTTTATTCGAGGTGGTAAGGTACGTTGTATCTTCTAGTTCGTACAAACTTTTCAAAAGTAGATGATATATAATGGCTATATTTATACTTTCACGAACTATTTTTTTGGATTATTAGTGCACATCTATAATTTTCTACAGAAGAGTCATTTTACAGCATTGTCGTCATTGTTTGACGATTCTGTGAAAAAAAAGAAATTGAAACTCTTCCATCAGCTTCTGAACTAAAAATTATACGTATTTTGATTCCTCTGAATGTAAGATTGTGATACTCAAAGTTGTAGACTACCATCGGAAATTTTCAAGGGGTCATTTGACCCAGCGTGAATTACTTACAAATCAATACTACCACATATAACAATAACTTTAGAAACTATGCCGTCAATTCTTGTTGGTACAGTTGAGTGCACAAGTAAGCTAAACCTGTCCACCAAGGGGGGTGGTTTTCGACAAAATATTTTTTGTTTGTTTGTACGGCATTTCTAAAGTATATACTATATAGGTTATACAAAATATATGAACCTCGACCTAATGCCGTACAAAAGTAGCAATACCGGAAGCCAGGAAAAATTTTGTTTTTCTGAAAAAAAACAACTAATTTTACCTCAATATTTATGAGAATTCCTATATAAATACTTATATTTAAAACAGTGATATAATATAATAATGTTTTGAAGTAACAGTCCCTCGCATTTGCATATTTGCCAGTTATATTACAATTGTTTGAACAATTTATTTATGCAAAAATTATGATGAAGCCATTGGCATATGTTTAAAATTAGTAGTCGAGGTTAATTTTTCTGTATAACCTATATACTTTAGAAATGCCGTACAAAAATGTTTTGCCGAAAACCACCCCCCTTGGTGGACAGGTTTAGCTTACCTGTGTACTCAACTGTACCAACAAGAATTGACGGCATAGTTTCTAAAGTTATTGTTATATGTGGTAGTATTAATTTATAAGTAATTCATGCTGGGTCAAAAGATCCCTTGAAAATTTCCGATGGGCTTGTAGTCTATTGCCTCTAACAACAAGCTTGAAATATCTCACTGTTGATGCAAATAGATCTAATTATTTAGACTTTATTGACTGTATTCTTAATCATAAACGTTTATACTATATGTATAGTTGTAAGCAGTTTTTTGCTAGGATAAATTTATGGTAGTAGGGAAGAGAGTTAGGTATATTTAGTAAAAGTGCAGTATCTTTAACAATATGTATTGAAAATATTTTTTTTTGAATAG